GCGCCCGGGGGGGAGAGAGACAGGGAGGCTCTGCAAGGGTGAGGGCCAGCGGAGGCAGGGGGATGGCGGCCGGCTTCGCGGGCGTCAGGCCTGGGTCCTGGGGTGCCGGCCGCTCCTGTGATTGACACTTGGGGAGGACTCGGGACCCCGGTGGCTGAGTCCTTCCAGGGTGGCCGGGCCCATTGTGCGCTCTCCGTGATGGATGTCGCACGACTCGGGCGGGTTGGATGGGCAGCGAGCCCTGTCCGCGCAGGCCGATCGCCCGAGAAACCCCGTTTTTTGGTTTTGTTTTTCCCACCAGATCTGGGGCGGTGCGTAGGTGTCCTGACTTAAGTACCCTTCAGGTTCATTTCCCCCTCCAAACTCAGCGGGGTCGTGCTCTCATCTAAAACCCTGGACGCGCGCACTCGAATCCCGGGGGTTTTCAAAGTTTGAAGCGCAGCGTGAGTTGCCTGCTTTGTATTTAGAAAGTCACACTAACCTTAGAGGACTAGATGTTTCTAAGGGCTCATTCTGTTCTTAACTTTTCAAACAGTTTTAAGTGCAGCTGCCAACCAGGATGGGCCGTGAGATGTTCGCTGGAGGAGGGGTCTCTACCTGATGTGTGAGCAACTGAGTGTACTCACATGGACTAACGGGCTGTGACTTTGCCGGGGGTATAGTTTAGTTTTTAAACTTTGTGTGTGTTCACGTGTGAGTGCCCGCACGAGGATACCACGCAGGCTCGGGCGCTCAGGACCACAGGTGCTGGCCCTGGCCTTCCACCTTGGGTGCGGCAGCGGCTTCATTCTTTGCGGCTGTGCTGCCCACTGCTCTAGGCCTAAGCAATTCGGCCTGACAGCATCTCACCCTAGGAGCTGGGATCACAGAAGCGCCGGATGGCCTGGCTTAAGGTGCGTTCTGGGGGTCCAAATTTAGGTCCTTTTGGTGAGAAATGAGAGCTTCAGAATAGTGGACGGGGCACAGACAAGACCTGGTGACGTGTCGTGTGTTTGTGAGTTCGTTTATGTGTTTGGGTAACAGTAGTACAAGTGCTGAGTGTGTGTGTGTGTCTGTGTGTAGGGGTAAACCGGGAAAGATGGAACACAAAAGAGGATAAATGTAAATGCTCCGTAAAAATGTTCTGAACTGAATGACCTCTATTGACGTCTTGATGACTTTCTTCCTAATTTGAGTATGTAAAAGTATTTTTACTTATTATTGTGTATATGAATATAGGTGTGCATATACCTAGGACCATGTATAGGGGTCAGAGGTCAAATATCGGGAGCCAACTCTCCCCTTCCATCTTTATGAGATGCAAGTTCTGAGGGTTAGAACTCAATCAGGTTTGCATGGCAAGCACTTTTATCACAACCACCACCCACATCCCACCATCTCACCAAACCAACTTTTGTGTATATAAATACACACATTACATAATGGGGGACTGTTCTAATATTTGTAACTCTTTCAACTTAACATTTTCCTTAATCACTAAAAGTTCACTCTGAAAAACCAATTATTCATTTGAAAATAATATTAGTATTTCAGCTATGTGTTTCATACATGATGGGAAATGAAGAATTAGGGCTGATCATGCCAAGTGTTTAAATGCCATCCATGCTACTGTGAGCCAGTTTCTTACCAGTGTATTCATAAATGATCTGTACCTTTCTGCCTTTGCACACAACCACATAATCACACTCAGAATGCTGAGTGTTGGACTTGGTTGTTGTTTTTAGTTGATTTTTTTTTTTTTTTAGTTGTTGATTTCAACTTGACACAAGCTATCCTCATCTGAACAAATACTTCCATCAAATTGACGTGTACTCAAGTCTGTGGGGCATTTTCTTGATTAATGATTAGTGGGGGAGGGCCCAGGCCACTGGGGGTGATGCCATCCCTAGGCAGGTGGCCCTGGGCTGTATAAGAAAACAGGCTGACCAAGCCAATAAGCAGTATTCCTCTATGGCCCCTACTTCAGTTCCTGTCTTGTCTTCCCTGATGGCTGAAGCCAAATACACCCTTTCCTCCCCAAGTTGTTTTTTGGCCATGGTTCTTATCTGAGCGATAGAAACTCTTAAGACAGTGTTGCATGCAATCTGAAACCATTGTTTTGAATGCATACGAGTTTTTATGTATACTTGTTAGAAAGGGGGAAGTAAGGAATTTTGGGGGGGCTGGGGGAAAGATATCTTAAGTGATTTTTTTAATTAAAAAAAATTTTTTTGGTTTGTTTCGAGGCAGGTTTCTCTGTGGCTTTGGAGGCTGTCCTAGAGCTAGCTCTTGTAGACCAGGTTGGTCTCAAACTCACAGAGATCTGCCTGCCTCTGCCTCCCGAGTGCTGAGATTAAAGGCGTGTGCCCCCCTCCTTATAAGATTTTTATTTTGAAATAATTTGGGTTTTAAAAAATCTGAAGAAATACTGAGTCCTTATGTTCCAGCTTCCCTGATGCTAACTCCTCGTATGTTCTTAGTGCAATTCCTGAACATGGAAACCAACACTGACACAGTTCCATTTGTGACCTGCAGACCTTAGAGCAAACCAGTCTCCCACTCACAGGACCCAATGTATTTAGATGTGCTGTGTCCTTAGCTGTTAACAAAGGTGTCCTCCCAGACAAGACGAGCTGTGCCGTAGAGCAGGCATGACAGGAAGCCAACGACTGTTCTTAACTTCATCTTCTGAACACGGTGTCTCCGAAAGGACGCACGTCTTTCTTTCCTGTGCACACAGCTGCTTTCTTTCCTGTGCACACAGTGTGTGATTGAGTAAATCACACACTGAAGGGTACCTTTTCTTGTGTGTATGTTTCAAGACCAGAAGTCAACCTCAGGTGTCTTCTTCAGTTACTCTGTACCATGTTTTTTAAGTCGGGGTCCCTCATTGGTTCAGAACTCATCAGTTAGCTAGGCTGGCTGGCCAGGTCCCCACAGCCCACCTGCCCAGCTGTAGGATTACATGTTCATGCTTCAATGCCCAGCATTTTAACGTTGGGTTCTGGGGATTGAACTCAGCTCCTCAGGCTTGCAATGGCAATGGGTTCACTGCCTGAGCCGCCTCCCCAGCCCTACCATACAGGGTTAATTACACTCAGGTATCAATTCCAAGTCACCACCGTGTTACGGAATAGAAGGACTGATCAGGTAATCCAGGTGTCTTAACTTTTTATTAGGATAGGATTTACAACAGAAATCCCTTTCAAAGCAGTGTGCCAAGTGCCACCTCCTTTCTCCAGATCTGTTCAGCCCTGAAGATGAAAATTGCAGCCTTTCTTACATGCGTGTGCATGCCTGTGTGTCTGTTTAGAACAGGCTGTCACTCTGTAACCCGGGGTTGTTCTGTTTGTGGCTCAGACTGGTCTCAAACTTGTCTTCTCCTCCTGCTTTAGCCCCCAGAGTGCTGGGATCACAGGTTTGTGCCACCGACCGTAGCTTACTTAGAGTGCTTACCATGGAAATTTTTGAAGTTGTGGCGAGTTCTGTAGGTGAAAGCCGCATGACAGCATCTGTACACTCCTTCACCACCCCCTTCCCCCCTCAACTCTGTCTTTCTCTGAATACTGAGCACCTTTCAGATCCTCCGGTGAATGTGAAAGCCAGGTGTATCCACTTGTCTGTGCTCTGTTGGTAATTCAGCACACCCTGGAGGAGACCACAGCCCAGCACAGCTGTCTGGAGCCCTGCACAGGGCCCCTGAGAAACCCCAGCTGCTCAGCTTTCTGGTCACTGTCCCCTTGGCCTGCAGTCTTGACCAAGGGGAAGCTGAAAGAAGGGAAGTGCCTCCTTTCCCTAGTGCCCTGGAGGTTGGTCTGTTGAGTCGTGGGCACTTTTTAGAATGCTCCTGCCACAGCCATGCCCGTGGCACACTAAAGCCTCACGTTCCTGTCCTCACGTTTGGTTCATCCTTTCTGTTCCCTTTGTGTGGAAATGGTGGAGCAAATGCCCATTACGACCCTTGGTGAAATTATAATTTTTAATGAATATAGTTGGATCCTATTGTGAATAGCCCTGTCATACTACAAAGTATATAGTCGTCTGTTGGTGGATTTTTGGGTAGTAGGTCATTTCCTTTTGTTGTTTCTTTGCATAAGTATACAAATAAATACCGTAAAATCTGCAATCTAGACTTTTAAATTCACATTTGATTCAAAAGATCCTTTAGAGACAAATTTTGTTAATATAGTGGTAATTAACATCTAGATACATTTTGTTTAATTTTCTTCTTGGGGTAAACTCATGGAAACAATACTGTGATGTTAATTTGTTGACATTTGTATGTCTTATTGCTGGTTTGCTTTCTGGAAGGTGGAAGGTTACAGAGTCTGTCCATGGTGTGTGGAAATGCCTGATTTCCCATACGAGTACACAAGCAGAGATCTCATCTTTCAGTGTTGGCAGAGTGGAAATGGGGATGTATCTTGTTAATTTTCATTTGTTTCATCAGTGGCCTGGAACATCTTTTCCGATGTGGCTGGTGTGCTCCTTTGAGAGTTGTGGTTTTTGTGTTTGGTGGTTTGTTTTGTTTTTGTCCCCTGTTAACTTCTAGGAGCTCTGCAGGTGAGGGATATTAACACTTGCTTGCCGTGTGCTGCCAACACTGTTAAGGGTCTGGTCTGCCTTGGATAATGAGTGGCAGAGTCTCCTAAGTGAGAATAAGTAGTAAGCAATGTTTATTATGGGTTTCTAGGAGTTCTTATATACCTGCTTTGAAGAGAAGCCTGTTCTGGCTTTCTCCGAAAGATTGTTTTATGGCCTGATAATTATGAGTAAGGTAGACTATTAACCACATCAAGCAATGCAGAAATGTTCGTCTGTGCTGACCTTTGATGCATGTCCACACACTCGGAACACTTTGCTCTTTCTTTTCCGAAAGTTCTCACTCACCAGAAGGTTGTCATTCCCCAGCCACCATTAGTAGCTGTTTGGAAGGTACTAGCTGATGCCTTCATAGAACTCAGCCTGTTGGTCTAAACCATTCCTTACACACCCGATCTGGTCTGATCTTAGAAACTGAGCAGGTCCAGACTTGGATGAAAGGACTTGGTGTGATGATGACCCTAGGTTTCCATGGCTCCTCACATAGCATTTGGATACATCTGGGGATAGTGTTCTAGTCTCTTTTCTGCCACTGGGATAAAACACCCTGACCACAGCAATTTCCGGGAGACATCGGCAGGGGCTTGAAACAGCTGGTCACATGACACCCACAGCCAAGAGCAGGGAGAAACAAATGTGCCCAAGCTGCCTGCTAGCTGCTTAAATTAAGCTCAGCTCTTGCACATTTCATGGCCAGCCTAGGTGCCACCCACAATGGGCTGGATCCTCCTACACCAATTAACAATTACAAGTCTCCCACCACCATAGCCAGCCAGCCTTACCCAGACACTTCCTCAGTTGAGGCTCTTCTCTAAGGGGCTTCTCAGTTGTGGCAATTTGACATTTAAATCTAACTATCACACATGTTTCCAAGATATCGTTAGCCAGACAGTAGTGCCACCTTTAATCCCAGCACTCAGGAGGCAGAGGCAGGCAGATCTCTGTGAGTTCAAGGCCAGCCTGGTCTACAGAGCCAGTTCTTGGACAGCCAAGGCTACACAGAGAAATCCTGTTTTAAGAAAAAAAAAAAACCATCTAAGACATTGTTATGGAAGTTAGTATTCAGACATAAATGGAGAAGGTAGCTCTAGTTGTTAGTCTTTTGCTTAAAGAAGGCAAAAGATGAGACATGAGAATAAGAGATACGTTAACTGTAGTTTATTATAGGCCAGCGGGGGGAGGGGGGCAGAGAGAAAGAGAGAGAGAGAGAGAGAGAGAGAGAGAGAGAGAGAGGAAGTAAAGTGAAGGGAGGAAGAGGAGGAGAGCAGAGAGTACACGGGCAGGGGTCTGTCTTTTAAAGGGGTCCTTTGCACCTGCGTGCAGACTTAGTTCCCATGGAGCCCTGGGCTGACCTGGGTACTGCCTGAGCAGATTCCGACAGGTAACAGAGGCAGGCCAGCATAATGCCTGAACCTTTCATCAGTGCTATGTGCAGACATGATTTCAGACTTTGGAGTCATTGACACTGATGGAGGCACACAGCCTTCAGAATTAGGAAGTAAAGTACCAGGCTGGCCCTGGAAAATCCCATCTCAGAGGCTCCTGTGGAAAGTGCTGTTGGGTCTAGTTCACAGTTTAAGAAGGGAGAGGATGCATCATTGTTGGGAGGTGTGGCAGTGGGTCATGTGCCATGTCAAGACACAGAGACTGACTGGCTTTCAGCTCACTTTCTCCTGTTTACTCATCCAGGCTCCTGCTCCCATGGAACCCACTGACGCCCCCGCCTTCCCCAACGTGGTTGACTGTTATCTCCTCAGACTGTGAGCCAGAATCAATGCTTTCACTCCTAAGTTGTTTCCTGCCAGACACTTGGTCACAGTGATGAGGAAATGTAACAGAAGGCCTCATCTTACCACAGCCCCAGCTATAGAGACAAAGCCGAGGGTTATGGTAGTGAGAGGAGCCACAGGCGCTTTACCTGTTAGGGCTCCTTGTGCACAAGAGCCCATGATCAATAGCTGCTCAAGGGAGCTGTCCCGTGGGCAGTGCAGTTCTTCTCTGTGGTTTAGGAAACCAGACTATTCTGTCTCTACCATCCCAGGGGGCCCTGGAAAGGGGGGGGGAGTGTGGGGAAGGGCTGGTTCCTCCCCTGAGGGCACTAGCCTGGAGTTGGCATTCCTGATTCTTACATACGTGGGATTTAGTGACTGGAATTTAGTCTATGTCCATGTAACATAAGCAGACTGTACATTAGTCCAGGTATGTACAAGGGTGAAGACAGGGAGTGTTCATTCAGTGCCTTAACTGCTGAGACAGGCCTGTCAGTGGCTGCACTCTCCTGGTCTTTGGTCCTTTGTGAGAGCTGGGTGCAGTCTGTATAAAACACAGGCTTTCCTACAGTATTCTGCTGTGTGTGTGAGCTGTGCCCCTCAGACCTTTGTTTACTACCCTGGAAAGAATGCTGCCTCCTGCCTAGGGAATGCCCTAGGCAAGATGCTTCCCCTCCCTAGTTTAGCACATTCAAAGATATTATGCAAACAGCCCCATTCAGCCCCGTGCTCTCATCACCTCTGGTGAAAGTGATGAGAACTACTCAGCAATTTGTCATTGCGTCTCTGTCCCTATCTTGCAATAAAAACTTCAAGAGAAGCCCCGGGAGCCCTTCCCCTGGAATCCCCTGGTTCTGTTGAATCTCTAATTCCATTGGGTTCCTATGCTTCTGTCTCTGAGGTTGCTTTGTGGCTGATGAGTAGTGTTTTGTTTTGTTTTGTTTTGTTTTGTTTTGTTTTTGGTAGCTTTTGTTATTTTATCTTTGAAACATTTAATTTTGTTGGATTAAATGTCAGACCCCAGCATCTGCAATGTAACAAACTGGGGGCCCCACAAGTACCTGTAACTCTGAAGAATTGGAAGACCTGCATTCATGCACACATGTGCATATATATTCATACAGATACAAGTTGATCAGTTCTTTTATTAAAAACTAAGAAGGAACAAGTAATAAATTGTGTATCTATTAGCAGGATTTAATGGAGCTAGGCAATAGATACTTCGGCCTGTACTGTGGGTAAAGTGGGCAGTCAGTAAAGTGAGCCTTTCCCTGCTGACAAAAGCCCTGCTTGCCTCTCTCTGTGTCCTTAATCTGGTTCCACTCTCTCAGGAAACACAGCGCTGCCCTGTTTTCTTGGACTGTGGTTGCCATTGTTCTCACTGTATCATTAGCAGTGAAATTCAGACATTTTTTTCAATTATATGTGCACAGACATAGAGTGCACACCTTTAGTCCTAGCCTTCAGGAGGCAGAGGCAGAGACAGAGGCAGAGGCAGAGGCAGTGGGATCTCTGTGAGTGTTAAGCCAGCTATCTACAAGTTCCAAGTCAGCCAGGGCTACATAGTGAGACCTTGTCTAAAAAACAAAATATGTACATACATATTAAAGAGGGAGGCTAGTTGGATCATATTACAGTTTAATAAAAGGTAAAATCGGTGGACTCACTCACAAGGCAGACAGAAGGTGCTGCCCCCTGCAGGCCAACATCTCTGGTGTTCTCCTGCCGCTGTCACTGCCTCATTTCCAAGGGGCATGGGGACCCTCCACCAAGCTGCCAGCCATGCTTGCTGCCGTAGCTCACTGCCAGTCTTTCCATCTTCCAAGAGCAGGCCCCTGTTTTATTTGGGTCACATATCCAATAAAGACTCCACCCTTTGGGCCAGGCTGCTCCTTACAATTGGCTAGTGGACCTGTGTCAGAATTGATATTTATATTTATATTCAGAAGGGTTTATCTGAGTCCCTTGTCTCCTGTCCTGGAAGTAGAAGTTCTGGCTTGTGTTCTTACTCAGTGTGTCACTTTTAGCATGTGTAGTTGGAGCAAACGTTTCTGCAGTGGCTCTGCCTAATGGGGGTAGTGCAGTGGCTAGAATATTGCTTTCTTCCTACAATAACTGGCTTTTGCTTTTTGTTTTAGTTTCCAGTAAGTTTGCCAAAGATGAGAGTGACTTTATCAAGTTTGGATACTTGTGAGAGCTCCTTCACACCTCTAGTGGTCATAGAACTCGCCCAGGATGTCAAAGAAGAAACCAAAGAATGGCTCAAAAGCAGAATTATCGCTAAAAAGAAAGATGGAGGTTAGTGAAATAGTTGCTCTACCAGCTTGGTCATGGCGAATTACTGATGTGTGTCATCAGATGCGTTTATACACTGTCTCTTGGCTCTGTATTACCTGTCTGGGGCCTGAAAGGAGATCTTAAATTAGCACTAGACTGAGATCCCTACTAGACCATGGGCTATGTGAGTCCTTTCTAAAGGCCATGCCTAACACAACACCCAGAGGGAGCTTGGCACATGTGTGCTAGGAGTGTCGTAAGTACTTGTCATGTGAGCAGACCCAACGTGCTGAGCACCCTGGTTTTATTCGATGCCAAGGGATGAAGACATCTGATCTCTGCCTGTAGACACTGCTGTCAGAGTACTGTACAGTAGAACCCTGTGAACCGTACTGTGGCTGCTGTAAAGGGAAAGCAGAGCCTTGGGGGTGACTCTGACAGTGCTCTGTGGAATGGCGGAGATAGCCTCTGACACTGTGCCGTAGCCATCTCACCAAGGGCAGCAGGAGCTTGGGCTGGTGAAAAAGTCGAGGGCTTTGGATAGCCAGACAGCCCCTGGAATACACAGGGCCAGTGTATTCACAGTAGCTGTGCAGCCGAGGGCTGAAGTCAGGCCCTTAATTGACTGGAAACTGATATCTTAAGAATAGACTTTTAAAATCAAAGTAGAAATACAACATGTTTCTCACAGTAATTGAACCAAAAGGGAAGACTATTTGCTTACTGAAATTTGAGATATTTTCGATTGGACTGGGGCCTCCTCTTCATGTTTCTGTGACTTAAGAGTAACCCCAGTGAGTTTCCAACAGCTTTTGCCCTGGCCCTGTATCTCCAGGGATACTGGGGAGAAGGGAGGGACAGTTGTAGGAGAAAGTACTCTGGATCCCCCAGAGAGAGAATGTGAGTTTACTACCACTGTTTGATTTTATTACTTCTAAACTCCAGTTAAAACTGTGGTAAACAAAACAAAACAAAAACAAACACAAGCAGAACTATTTTAAAAAATATAAAACTGAAGGGCCTGTTGGATCTGATATGACTGAGAGGCAGGCTAGCACCCTGGAGACCGCAGAATGGAAGGGCAGTGGAGCTCCTGAAGATGACATAGAGTCTCCACAGACTCCACCAGGTGATTCCCAGGAGCCTCAGGCTCGCTCTGGGTGGAGGGTTGGGTGCTGGGATGGTTGGGGCCAGGCTTCTGTGGAGGGCTGGAAGAGATCCCACTGAGAAGGAAGACAACATTCTCCTTTCCCACTCCAAGGCTCACATCCAGTTCAGTTTATAAATGAACAAGACTGCTAATAATCCAGGAGGCATATAGAACTTCTCAGGGGCATCTAACCCATTTAGGACAAAAGAATTAATTGTAGAAAACCAAGGGATTGTCCAGGAAGAGACCAGTTGAGGTCTCTACCCATTAAAAGCCATGCTGGACGAATCCACCTAAGTTCTCGGGACTTCAGCCCATGTGGGTCCCTTTCTTAACCAAGAGCCCAAAGAGAAAAGATTGTCACAAGTCTGATACAAGAGAGATGGGGAAGCAGGTGAAGAACAGCACTGGTCAGGAGGATGAAGAGCTCAGCCCTCACCCACACATGAAGAATGCATTAAAAGACAGCTCTGTGGGAAAAGCAGCTTTTACAGAGCAAAAACGTAAAATCCCATGTGGAAAAACCAAAATGGTTGAGATAACATTAGCAAGACCTCCAAGAACACAGAGCAGAGTGTTAGGGCAAAGAAAGCATGGCCGGCCCAGGAGGCTCACACCACATAGAAGGATGGAGCTGAGGAGAAATGGAAGAGAGGATCTTAGGACCCATTCCAGCATTCAGGGACAGAGTGCCCTGTGAGCAGCTGAAGTTCCAGAACCCTGGGGATTAAGATACAGCAGTCTTGCAGGAACAAGGACAGCAAAGCCACAACCAGAGCTTCTCCAAAGTGTCTGGTGTAGAAGCTGTGGGGCCCTCTTCAGTTCTGAAGGAACTCTGGACACAGCCAGCCAGTGGAGAGGGCAGAGTACAGAGAGGCTCTTCCTACAAAGCTTCTGACGGGTCCCTTATGTCGTCAGTGTGTCACAGGGAGACTTACCTAGGGCACAGAAATTAGAGTTGTTAAGTGTGGACTAGGCAATGAGTCAGACAGAAACTCTGGTGAGTGAAAGCAAGTGATGAGAGTCACCTCCAGATGCCTTGGAGGCTACACCAGGTCTCCTCCCATAGAGGGGCTTTCCTCACACGCAGAATATCAGCTTCCACACGCAAATGCCACTCAGCTGGGACTTGAAGGTATAAGTGGTACACGGTGGGGGAGGGGCACAGAGGAGTGTGTACAGGCCGCTGCAGCCTGGTGAAGGTGTGACACTCGTCTAAGGAACAGCCTTGACCACAGTCCACCTCTGTAAAAAGTGTCAGGCAGAGGAACTCCCGCTCAAAGGAATGGCCTTGTTGCCCACCCTGCAGTTCAGCGCTGCTTTTCGTAGGGGCTACGGAGATGGTTCATGTGGCTGACAGAGAGCTGGTTTAGTGGTGACAAGGGAGAAGGATCAGGAGGGATGGAGAGGCAGATCAGGGGTGGCTATGGAGATGGGTCAGTGGGGAAAGTTCTTGGAATGCAAGCAGGAGGGACTCTTTTTATCTCCAGTATTTGCACCCAGGGACATAGGGGAAATTCTGTAATCCCAGAATTCCTGTGAGCTGCTGGCCAGACAATCTAGCTAAATTGGTGAATTTCCGTTCAGTGAGAGACTGTCTTAAAAAATGAGGACAAGGACTGAGGAGGATACTCGACATTAACCTCCGGCCTGCGTCGCTGTGTGTACACTCGTGCACACATATGCACAAGCACAAGCATTAACTTCTATTCCTAATTTCCTTATCTTTCTTTTCACTTGGATAATAGTAGATTTAAATTGCTACTATAATCTTGTTTCCGTATACCAAGTAGAAACATTGCATTTTTATAGATTTTTGTTTTTTGAAAGTTTGTGTCTGTTTTGTTCTAAACTGCACTATCTTGTGTTTGGCAGGTGCCCAGCTGCTGTTTAGACCACTGTTAAATAAGTATGAGAAAGAAACAATAGAAAACCAAAATTTATACCTTGTTGGAGCCTCCAACATAAGACTGTTACTTGGGGCAGAAGCAGTAGGCCTGGTGAAGGAGTGTACAGATGCTGCCATGCGGGCCTTCACCTACGGAACGCGCCACAACTTCAAAGGTTTCCATGGTAAGCAACGTGATTTTTTTTCTACCCAAATGTGTTTGTTGCAGAGAAGTGTTTGACATCAGAGGTCTACACAGCACCAATGTCTACTTGATATCTAGGCTTTATGGGCCTTAGTCTACTCTCAGTTACTCAGTTCTGCTGTTTGGAGCAAAACAGTAGCCCTTGACCATAAGTCAACGGATGGACTGTCTGTGTGGAGACTTGGGCCATAACTTACCCTCCCCGGAGTAGATGAACACAAGTTAGAACGTGTGCTTTATTTACATTGTTCTAAATGCCAGGGCATCTCAAAGAGAATATTCTGAAGAGAATTGGGGTCTCAGGCTCTCTGAAGGAGGGGCACTTGCTGCAGGTGCGTGAGCTCCTGGTGGCACTGTTGGAGTTAGAACATGGAATTGGGCCTCTTAGTACCAACTCACTGTAGAATTTTTTTATCTCACTGATACGGTGATCTGGGTAATATTTCCTCAATAAAAAGATTTGTCTGTCGGAACTTCTGTTTTCTTGTAGGGTTCATTCTCCATGGCTCCAGAAGGGAGTGAGGCCGATGGGACAGCTTGGTGGGGGTCCCCCATTTAAGTCAGCTTGTCCATCTGAGGTAGAAACATGGGTACAGTTGAAGAATGTGCAGTCTTTCACAGCATCACCCCATACTAACACCCCCCAATTAAAAACATCCTACAGTTCAGAGCGCAGCCTCTGATCATTGGCTCCAAGTGAAGCCAGGGCAGTGTGTGCTGATGGACTTCTGGTGCCAGAGAAGCTTTGAGATGACTGGAGGCAGAGTCAGCAATCGGAGTAGACGCGACACCCTCATATCTAAAATGCTTTGCTGTCTGTTAACTTTCCAGTTTGTTCTCTGGCAGCTCCATAGGTTGGTTATGTTTATGGCATTTCCGTAATCACAAGCATGATGATTTGAACATTATTAATTTTATATTGCTGTAAGAAAGTAACCAGACATTTTGTTATGTTTCAGATAACAACGATGACTTCCTCACTATGGCTGAGTGTCAGTTCATTATCAAACACGAACTTGAGAATCTTAGAGCTAAAGATGAGAAGATGATCCCTGGTTATCCCCAGGCCAAACTGTACCCCGGGAAATCACTGAGTAAGTCTCTGTCAGCCAGCTCTCACAGGCCTACTCTTAACACTCATTATTAGCCATGGTTATTTAGAGAATCCACAGCCTCCTGTTGCTCCTTTAGCTCTCCCGCTTTGCCTTCATGCTCACCTGGTTCTTGCAGCATCCAGTCAGCTTGAAGGACCCGTGTAAATTAGGCTCTTATTGTTCACTTCATGTCAGCAAAGTTCACTTTATACCCAGTGATAATCGAGTTGTGGTGATATTTTGTTTGTGCTTTAACAAGGCTGATCTCTGTGAGTTTGAGCTAACCTGAGTCAGTTCCAGGACAACCACAGCTGTAACACAGAGAAACCCTGTCTTGGAAAAAAAGAAAAAAAAGAAAAAAAAGAAAAAAAACAAACAAAAAACAAATAAAGCTTGCCTGAAGATCAGAGTGTGGAGCTTAGCCATACTAGTTAGCCATAAAGGGCAGGCAGTGGTGGTGCACACCTTTAATCCCAGCACTTGGGAGATAGAGGCAGAGGGATCTTTGTGAGTTCAAGGTCACCCTGGGCTACATGAGACTTATCCAATCTAAAAGAAAGAGAGCCAGGTGGTAGAAGGTTACAGCTTCAATCCCAGTTCTTGGGAGTCATATGCCTTTAATCCTAGCACTAGGGAGGTGGAGACAGGAGTGATATGCCTGGGCAGAGAGAGGAATAGAAGGCAGGAGGAGACAGGAGCTCAAATCATTCAGTCTGAGGATTCCGTAGAGCCAGTATCACCCTTTCAGACTGAGGTAGAGATAAGAAGTAGTGGCTGCTGCTCTGCTTCTCTGATCTCTCAGCTTTCACCCCCTGATATCTGACCCTGGGTTTTTATAGATGAGACCAATTAGAACTTGAGATACACAGAGTGGGTGGGCTAGGCAGGGCCTATCCTGGAGTCCTGCTCTTGTTCCCTGGGACCTCATTGAGGTGACCATAACAAACACAGAGTAACTTAAGACATCCTAACGAAGGGTGCAATAGGATGAACATTGGTGTAGGGTCCCTTGATGGTGGTGGTGACTTCAGAGTGAAAACGCTCCAGTGTCTACAGCAGCAAGGCCTTGGAACTCTGGTTCCAACCTCCCAGCTCTGGGTTCCCGCATCTGGCTTTTTTTTTAAATAACTCTATTCCCACCTCCCCACAAATATCCTCAACACAGAGTTTCACTCTGTTGACCAGGTTGGCCTCAAACTCACAGAGATCACCTGCCTCTGTCTCATGAGAGCTGGGATTACAGGCGTGTCCTTGCATGTGGGCTGGTTTCAGCCTCACTGCAGGAGCACAGAGCCTCAAGGACCACTCCACAGTTGCCAGCTGCCTCCAGGTGTGCTCTCAAGCCTGTCTGCCTAAAGCAAGGCCAGGCAAAGGCTACCACCGTGTTTGCCATTTGCCACTGTGTGCCTTCAAGCTCTTTGAGAGGACGCTCTCTCATTTGTATTTTTCCACAGCATTGATTTCTGTGTCCGATCTGTGTGTTCTAATGCTGTATCAGGGGCTGGGTCTCTGCCTGCCTCCTCCTTGGCCCCTCTCTGTATTCTGAGCCCACAGGGCTCTGTCTCCCAATCTCTCTGCCCGGGGATGCAGATTTGCCTTGGTTTAATGCCATTTTCCCAAAACTGAGTATTTATTAACCTTTTGTTTTAAATGTTGGAGTACTTTCTTAGGATAAATTATCTTGACTTCTGTTTTTTAAATATTGTTTTGTTTTTGTTCTCCCTAAAGCGAGCTACAGTAGTTACTCTTGTATCTTCTAAATTATATTCTGGATGCCTATGTCATTGTGACTTAACTTTTTGAAAATTAATTAATTTTATATCCAGACTGCAGCCTTCCCTCCCTCCCTCTCTTCTCATTGCCTTCCCCCTCCTCCCCTCTGCCTTCCCCTCAACCCACCCCTCCTCCATGGAGAGGGGCGGGCCTCCCATGGGCTTTAGCAAATCCTGGCACATCAAGCTGCTATGAGACTGAGCAGCTCCCTCTGTGTTCAGGTTGGCAAGGCATCCATAAGAGGAAAGGGTTCCCAAGAACAGCCAAGGCACCAGGGACAGCCCTGCTCCTGTCGCCAGGAGTCCCACATATGCCGAGGGCCTGGGCCTGTGCAGTGCAGGCTCCAGGTTGGTGGTTCAGACTCCCATGGCGTTTACTTTTGAAGTGTTAAAACAATCCTTTAAAGTTTGCACACCATAAAACAAGAAAACACTTCCGGGGGGCAATTTGCACTTCTTATGATTATTTTCTGTAAAGGGAGATCATGAAAAGAGGAGAGACATAATTTTCTGGTGTCCGAATCTGAGGACTGGTGGAACTTTTGTTATTCTTTCTCTCATGCTCCAGCTGCTCCAGCATTTCTCTTCCTTACTATACATCTTCAGAGAGGAGCGTTCAAGAGAACGCTCTTCACACAATGGGGATGCTGAGCTGCACCGACCATCTTACACCTCTACTGTGGTTACGGATGCTTGCTCATCTAGATTGACTCAAGTGTGTCCCTTCTGTAGGCACTTGGTGTTCCGCCTGTCATTGTAACGATGACTGTCTCGTATGTTTCCTCCATTTCTTTAATCATAGCCAGAACAGGGACGCCCCGGAGTGACTGTTAGATCATAGGTGTCTATGTCTTGGGGATAGACACTGCCAAGCTGTCCTTCCTATGCTCGTTGTCTCTGAGTCAACTACAGGCGGTCATCTCCATCAGACTGAGAAAGCATCTGTTCTGCTTGGTTCAGATTGTGTGTTTGGGCTGAGTTTTATCAGACTCTGGAGTGTCTGTGAGGTTTTGTAGTTTTGTCTCTGTGCCATCAGCTCAGCCAGTGCTGTTCTAGTGTGAGCCTGTTCTTAACTTTTCTTGGTGAACTCTGCCTGTCTAATTAATATTCCTGTTGCTTTTTTCTAATGATGGGAATGTTTAAATTTTATTGTGCTTCTGACCATTTATTTCTCTCTGGTCTACAATTGAACTTTGCCAGCCCCTCCGGTGGGTGGCACCTCGTCACCTGAATCTGAAATGCCCCTTTCACTTTCTCACTGAGTTTACATCTGTGTGTGAGAGAAGATAGGAGGTGTTCTTGTCATCATCCCCTGACTCCATGACCTTTTCTTGTCCCCTCTCCATGAGGACCCCTCCCTCCCTCCCTCCCCCATCATGGTCCCTTCCTTTGTGTCCTGTTGGGCCTCCTGGTCTGGTCTGAGCTGCACTGGCCCTGAGTGGACGTGACAGATGCATGTCCTTGCTCTTGTTTCTTAGGAATCAAATGTGGCATTTCCTTCTTTTCATCCACACGTCAGTTACCTGCTCTGGCTTCAGTTTTTCTTTTTCTGTTTAGAGACAGGATCCCACTCTGTACTCTCAGGTGGCCTAGAGCTTGCTGTGCAGGGTGTGGCGGCTCCTCCTCTCCTGCTTACTGGAAGCACACACTGCCACTCTTGGCTCTGTGAGTCTGATGGTGTGTGCTTTTTAAGTTTTGTTTTAAATTCTTTTTTGAATGAAGCAATTTATTAGTCCTTTATTCTTTTGCTTCTTCTTGGTAGCTGTCACAGGTCTGACAATCCTGCCCAGATGCCTGTCCATGAAGTGTTAGTTTGTGCCCCCCACCCCATCTGGGTCCTTTCTCACCATTTTCGCCCCACCCCGACTCCACGGCTTGAGGGATCCAGTGGGCCATACTCTTGGAGGATCTACTGAAGTGTCTGCATTTGATGCCGTTTCTCTGCAGTCCTCTGTAGGTTGGGGCCATGGAGCCAGCCCCAGCACTGCCTTGGAGGCATGGGTGCAGTGCTGTGAGGGCAACTCTCCTCATAGGGAGCAAGCTCTTTGTTTTTGGCCAGCTCCACCATGTCCACCCATCCAGGGACTTCCGGCTTCCAGAGCTCTAACAGATTCCTACTGGTTTACACTGTCTGACCTAAGAACTGCCAGCCAGGGAAAAGGCTGGGACTAGTTTTTGTCACTGTGTTTCTTGGGTACTGTCCTATCATTGTCTAGGGAAGGACAGCCATCATTTGAGGAAGCATTTCCTCAGTTGCCCTGGAGGAGTCTCTTGGTGGTATTTACTTTGTTCTGGGGGTGTGGATTATGTGTGTGCCAGGTCTTACACATTCACTCCTTTGATGTGATTGTCCTAGGCTTGTATGTCATTTTCCCCGCCTGATTTTTTGTCTTCCCTTCTTTGTAACTTTCTTTGTTTGGAATTTGTAGTCATTTCACTTTTTCTCACATTGCTTTTTGGAGCCCATCCCTTCTGTTCTCTTAGGGAGTTGAATTTTGGAGATATGTGTGAGCAGATCTCTTGGCATAACCAGCTTTTCCTTGTGTGGCACTGTGATTTCCTACCCCCATGCCCTTTGTGTTGTGTTCTCATCAATCTTGGTTTTCTAGTCTTATTTTACTAGTTCCGTTGTGCTTATTACTTGTTATTGTGGGTTTTTTGTTTGTTTGTTTTAGTCAGGAGCTTGGTCTATAACCCAGGCTGGCTTCAAATTCGCAGTAATCTTCCCGCCTCAGCCTGGCTAATGCTGGGATTACAAGTTTGAGCCACCACTAGCTCATTTTAAGTGAAGTCCCGTTTCTACCCAGATTGGCAGTTTGGGGAGGTAGGACGCAGGAGGAAGGGGACCATCTCTATTGAGGAGCAGCGTTAGTGAGAGGCTTACATCTTTCCCTGCAGTGATGTCCCCTTGAGGCAGCTCTCTCTCTAGGGAGCCCTGTCTTTGCAGGGGTTCTGTGGGGCAAGGCCTTGACTTGGTGCCACAGCTGATGGCCTTTCCACTGGTTACACTACAGATGTGCACAGAGTCTTGGAGGCTCATCTCTGTCTCCTCTCTGTCTCAGTAACTACAGAATACCAGGCCACCATCTGCCTTCCCCATCCAGGTTCAGAGACTTCAGTTTTACCCTCTGCTGACCTTAAAGGTTTTGTTTCATGGCTTGTGATTTGGATTTGTAAATTTGGTTTCATGAAACACTTTTTGTTTATGTTTCTAGTTTTCTTTGATTTTAATTTAGTCTCATGAACAAATAAGGTGTTAGTGTCCACACTGTTTTACTGTGTGACACAGGCATACCATGCTCTGTATCAACCCTTGATTGATGTCCTTTCTAAAGGGCTTGTGTAATCGTCATTCTCTTGGTTGGGAGGCATGCTCTAGATACTTCTAGGTAGTGCTGCAGGACAGACAGACCCCCTGAAGCTTGGTCCTGGTGCTGCTGGAAACTTCTCTCTCTCTGTTCACCTGTACCCATCAGTCTTCCAAGTAGACATCACCAAAGCCTCCTGGAGATTCCACACATCCTCTGGCAGAGCTCCTTTTCTAACCCACCCCTGGCTTCCTGTTTGATGTGATCACAGATCCTTGTGTTTTTAGATTATTCAGCATGAGTTCTCACCAGAGCTGAGAGATGGTACAAGGCTTGTGATTCTCCAGAACTGTGATGTGAAGAAATTTCTTCTCTTACAAAATCAGGGCCTCACGCCCTCCATTACAGTAACAAACGAGCAGATTAATGTGCATTCTTTCTTGTTGACATCTTTACTATTGCATGGTTGCCCTTTCAAATGCAGCAGCAGCTTATTTAGGATGCCATCTGTGTGTATGATGGACATGGGGAGTAGAGGGAGTCTGTCTCTAAAATCCTGGTCAGCGTTATAAGAACAATGACATAGGTTTCAAATACCACAATCAGGAATGTATGTAAGAAAGTTCATCCATTGATACGTAGGTTTATATTTTGTAACATACAGCAAACATGCACACTGTGCTTGACCACACACATTTATAGTCTTTATGTTAAATAGGGAGAAAATCAAATAAGAAACACAGGAATATCAAAGCGTTTTTTGGAGACATAGGTATCTCTTCAAGTAGCTTTCTTCCAGTTTGGATGGATGTTGTTTACTTACTCTGTATCTTAGGGTTTTTGTTGTTATGAAGAGATACCTTGACCATGGCAACTCTGGTTTTTTTTTTCGAGACAGGGTTTCTCTGTGGCTTTGGAGGCTGTCCTGGAACTAGTTCTTGTAGACCAGGCTGGTCTCGAACTCACAGAGATCCGCCTGCCTCTGCCTCCTGAGTGCTGGGATTAAAGGCGTGCGCCACCAACGCCCTGCTGACCATGCCAACTCTTACAAAAGAAAACATTGAATTGAGGTGGCTGCTTATGGTTTCAGAGGTTTAGTCCATTATCCAGGTAGGGAGCATGGCGGCATGCAGGCAGACATGGTCCTGGAGCTGAGAGTCCTACAGCTTTCAGGCAACAGGAAATTGTCTGATATACTGGGCGATATCCTGGGTATAGGAAACCTCCACAGTGACACGCTTCTTCCAACAAGCCCACACCCATGCCAACAAACCTATACCTCCTAATAGTGCCACTCCCTGTGAGATTATGGGGAACAATTACATTGAAACTACCACACCCTGATGCCCAGCAGCCACAGGGGTGAGGGCTGTGCTGGTTATCCATTGCCATGGAACACCCTCTTCCTCTGGCATCTGCTCTCTGGTCAGATTCAGGAGGAGTGGCCTGCTGTCCCCCTCCCCCCACCATGCCCCCAGCTAGGTCCTGAGACTCCTTTTCCTTTAGAGGTGAACACATCTGATCAGCCAAAGGCAACTGTGCCGTTAGCAGTGTTGCTGCCTTCCCTAGCTAAAGTGTCCTGCAGACCAGGCCATCCATAGCTCCTCTTGGGTCAGATTTTATTTGTTTGCTGATCACTCAGTGGCTCTGGACGTGGTGTGGAAGGAGGGGATCTGGCTGAAGTCCCTGCCTTCCTTTGTTAGGCCCAAGCACCCTCCTATCTCCCTTTCAAGGTAGAGTCCTTCCTGGTAATTACAGTCAAGCTGACACTGGAAGCTGGAGGATTTTAAAGAAGCCAGCCTCTATTTTTAGAGTTGAAACCAGAACCGGGCTCTGGCATTGTAGGTGATGAAAGCCGGTAATTTGGGACTCGGAGCCTCTCGAGAGGCTCCATTCGCTGTCCTATTTTTGGAAACACACAAGCAGGTTCTCTGTGTCTGCTGGAGAGCCTTTCCACAGTGGAGTCATCTCTTACAGAAGAACCCAGAACTTCAGTGCCACAGGCCAGCCCAGGGTTCAAACACCCGTGCCTCAGTGGGGAAAAAACTGTGATGGAGAGGCCTCTGCAGCTGTGCATCCCGCACCGGGGGCCACAACTGGGGGCTTGTGTACAACTAACTTAAGTCACGTCAGCCAAAGTCCTCAGGAATTTATGCATCTAGAACTTACAAAGCGGTCTCCACAGCACCCAAGCTGATGCAACTCAAACCTTTTCCAGTCATGAAGTCTGCCCTTTCAGTCCTTACCTCCTCTGTGTAGAGCTTGTGTGAGTGACGTAATCGTGAGAGGACTGCTGATGAAGACTGCTTTGTTTTCCCTCCAGTTAGGTCAGCTGAGATTCTGTTGTCAGCCTATCTTTCCTGGACTCATGGGAAAAGTACCCCAGCTCCCCAGTATGGCCCTTAGGACCGAAGACCTCTCCACACTAGCAGGTCACTCTCAGTACCTGAAGCAGATAAGACACTCTGGGTCTGTCAGGCACTGCCAGGAGGCACTGATTTGCTCGAGCTTGTCTTTTCCACGTTGTGTGTGAATGTCTTGAACATTTTTGTCACCCAACTGCATGGAAATGGAGGGAACTCAGTGTGATTTTTGAAGCCCCTGTTTGTGGATATGTCTTTGTCATTAGGTTGGAAAGATAAAAATGAGTGAGAATACTTGCTGTCAGCAGAAACAAAAGAACTGTAGTGAGGGGAGGGTAGAATACTGGTGGGGGTCAATTATGTAAGATGTGTTCAGACTTAAAATTCATTTGCTGTTGGCCCTGGATGACGACAGAGTGAAGAGGTGAGATAATATATGTGTGTAATAATTTCAGGATTTGGAAGGGCTGGAGAAATGGCTCAGAGAGTAAAGGTACTTGTTACTCTTTCAGAGGACCTGGGTTCGGTTCCCAGCACCCACATGGTGGTTCACGACCATCTGTAACTCCAGTCCCAGGGAACCCAATACCCTCTTCTGACTTCTGGGTCCCAGGTGCTCACGTGGTGCAATACAAATATGTAGGCAAACATTCATACACAGAAATAAAAAAAAGAAAAAGAAAAAAGAATTTCAGTATTTATTTATAATGGCAAAAACCAGAAACAATTATTCTTTAGCACAGACTTAATCACAGTATGCTGGGAGATGTTACAGCTGTAGAAGGAGAATTCCTCTAGATTCACAGTAACCCTGAAAAGCTGTAGATACCACGGCTCACATGACTAAGAGCCCTGTGAAGTATATGAGACGATTTTCACCTCAGTGTATTTGTCCACGGATGTCAGTGTATATTTTGACATCTGGTTATACATTAAATTGCTGTTTATAGTGGCTATTTTTATATAGAGAGAAGAACAGAAAGTTTGCACACTTCTGATTTACACAGTTTGTATGGTTTAGGATTTTACTCAAATTGCACTGCTTTCATAGTGAAAGAAAAGTAGTAAAGATATTTATATTCTGAAATAAGTTGTTCACATTCAGAAGTGGCAGGGAGCTGTGACGTGGCCCTGCATGCTAGACCACCTCCCTTGTCCTGGGGCATCCTTCAGCTGTCGGCATCCTAAACCATCCCGGTGTTTTAGGCCCTTCTCATGCTTCCTTCCGCAGTGAGGAGATTGCTCACGTCTGGCATCGTGACCCAGGTGTTCCCACTGCACGACACTGAGGCCCTAAAGAAGCTTGAGGACACCTGGTATACTCGGTTTGCTCTGAAGTATCAGCCCATAGGTATGTGTCACTGCCTATGTCCTGCTGAAGAGAGAGCCCCGATGAAGCCACTGTCCTGTGACATAGTGCTCTCCTGGCCAGTGCTTAGCAGTTGCAAGGGCAAGAGGACAGCTTGATGGCCTTGTTCCTTTTAACATATCCTTCAGGCTTTGGGTAAATTTGATCTACATAGGCAGTTTGGAGTAGCCTTTGTGAATACATGTTTTAGTTCTATGTATGTATGCATGTGTGGCGGTGGGGTAGGGGGCTGTGCATGCGAGTCTAAGTGCTTGCAGAGGCCAGACGAGGGCATCAGATCCTGGAGCAAGCAGTTCTGGGCTGCTCGATGTGGTTTCTGCAAGAGCAGTGAGTGCTCTCACCTGCCGAGCCATCTGTCCAGCACAGGTGAATCCATGTCTGCATAGGAGTGTAGCTTGTCTTGAATATTTTGTGTTTGAAATTTTCTATTCCTATGGAGCTGGCCAAGCCAAGATTGAGTTGAGGCAGACTCACTGGCCTAAACATCTGATCTGAGGGACCCATCTATTTTCTCTGGGCAGTTATGAGAGACTGTGTATTGGTATGTATTGAATGTTACTTTATGGGAAGTTATGTCAATATTAATGTTCAAACATTTTTGGTTGGTTATGTGTTTGAAAAAAACTTTTCGGTCAGTGCTGGAGATTAAACCTTGAGCATGCTAGGCAAGTGCTCTAATATTGAGCCCCGCTGTGCCCTTTGTTAGGTTTTTTAAGCATAAGGATGATATTCAAGCTGGAAATTCATTAAGTGTTGCTGTCATATTTTTCTTTAAAAGACACATTTCTTTCTCTCTCTCCTTTCTTTGATTTTAAGAGAAGAATTCTTTCTGTATTCCATATTGTTTATGGAAATGGAAATGTTATAATGTTGAACAAGAAGCAAGATTGGAGGTGGAGAGTGGGTTTGGCAGTTAAGAGCCCTTACTATTTTGCAGAGGACCTGAGTTCAGTTCCCAGCTCCCATGCTGGGGGGCTCACAATCCCCTACAACTCCAGCTCCGGGAGATATAACGTCCTCTTTTGTGCTCTGAGGGCGTTTGCATGTGCATGCACACACACAAAAATATAAAGTATTAAAGTTTAATTTCCTTCTTTAGTTTTTAATATCAAACTTTGAAATTATATTTTAAAGTTTTTCTTGTCTCTGAAAGAAAAAACTTTGTTCTGAAAATTCCAGGTACACAGTACTCATTTTTATGTTATACTTAAGAGAGTTTTTCACTGTTTGATGTTTAAATGTCAATAATTTAAATATTGCCTGTGTGACTATAGGGAACTGGCTCTATTAACTAGTTCCTAGAAAGAGAAAGACAGCTTAGGGAGAAACCTGGGCATGGGCTGTGGTATACTAAGCCTCTGGGGAGGGCTGGGCCTACTGAGAGGAGCTGGCAAAGGGGAAAGCCACTAGCTTGGAGACCAGCACACATGAGCCCTTGTGTTTTGTGTGGACTGGGCATGCAGCAGCCTGATTCAGATTTAAGACGACCTAATCATACCACTGTGTTCATGCCCTTCCAGGTCAGCAAGGAGAATCAGGGGAGGAGTAAATAGCTCACCCTAATCACTCCAACCCAAGTCTTCATAGGCAGATCTGAATGTAATGTCTTCAAAAACACGGAATGAAGGGGCTGCAGAGATGGCTCACTGGTTAAGGGTGTGTCTGCTCTTGCAGAACTCCCAGGTTCAGTCCCAACACCCATGTTGGGCAGCTTACAACTACCTGTACCTCCAGCTCCATGGCACCCAGTGTCTTCTGGCTCTGTGGCACCTGCATGCACATGGCACACACAAATATCAGGTATACACACACATACACACATTTTTTTTAAATACTAGTATTTTTAAATACCAGTGGTGCTGGAGAGATGGCTCAGCAGTGTAGAGCACTGGCCGCTCTTGCAGACGACCCTGGTTTGGTTCTCAGCACCCACATGGTGACTTGCAAAAACCTGTAACTCCAGCGCCAGGGGATCTGCTGATACCCTGTTCTGACATGTGTGGGCACTGTATGCATGTAAAATACATGCATACACTTAGGAGCACACATAGACACAAACTAAGATCAATTAATTAAAATCTAATGTATAATTAAGAACCAGTTACTCTGACTAGTCCCCTGTCCCAGCCCAGCTGCCTGAGGCCCAGGAAGTCCCCACATGACACTGAATGGCCTCTTTGGTTCTTAGCATGTTGCAGTCCACAGCTGTCAGCGGGCTGCTTGGACTTTGTCCTGTCCAGTGCACAGATGTCCTCAGTAGGATGAGATGGACACTGAACTGTGGGGTCTTGTTTCAAATCTGCAAATGACCTGTGCTGAATGCACTGGGAAATCTGTCGCATCTCACGATGTCTGACTTTAGGTGGGAGATCAAGATGCTGTGGACATGGACCATCTTTACAAAGAGCTTCGCGCAGTGACACAGATGGGGAGGAGAGCAGGGCATTCACGGATGCCCACACAGTGGCCCAGTGTCCATGTCTGAACTTAACCTTAGACAGCATGCCAATCCCAAGATGATCTCTTACGTGAAGGGACAGTAAGGGGAAAACTGAGCTGAGGCTCCTGACAGTCACCCCAGCAGCTGAGGTCTGAGCTGGGACCTGGGGAAATGAAGGCTTGTCATGCTGACAGATGGGGTCTTCACAATGTACACAGGAAAGGGTTGTTACCCCACACAGAATGGCTGTGGAGGTGCTAAGGATCCCCAGCCACTGAACACATGCACCTGTTGTGCCGTGGTTAAATGGCAGTCTTTGGTAACCTGTGCCTCAATTCTTGTTTCTGCTGTAGACAGCATTCGTGGTTACTTTGGAGAGACAATTGCTCTGTACTTTGGGTTCTTGGAGTATTTCACCTTTGCCTTAATCCCCATGGCCATCATCGGGCTGCCCTACTACCTCTTTGTGTGGGAAGACTACGACAAGTATGTCATCTTCGCCTCGTTCAATCTCATCTGGTCCACAGTGATCCTGGAGGTGTGGAAGCGTGGCTGTGCCAACATGACCTACCGCTGGGGGACACTGGTCATGAAGAGGCAGTTTGAGGAGCCGAGGCCAGGGTTTCATGGGGTCCTGGGCATCAATTCTGTCACCGGCAGGGAGGAACCTCTCTACTCCAGCTACAAGAGACAACTACGCATCTACCTGGTCTCGCTGCCGTTCGTGTGCCTCTGCCTCTATTTCTCCCTCTACGTCATGATGATCTACTTTGACCTGGAGGTCTGGGCCCTGGGTCTCCACGAGGACAATGAGTCTGTGTGGACCGGCCTCCTGCTGTACATGCCCAGCATTGTGTATGCCATCGTGATTGAGGTCATGAACCGTCTCTATCGATATGCTGCTGAGTTCCTGACGTCTTGGGGTAAGAAGTACTGCTTGCACCCATGGGTCAGGAGAGATGACTCCTGCCCCCAAGTCTGAGGACCTGAGGTTTACCCCTGAGACCTAAATAGTTGAAGGAGAGAACCAGCTCAGACCTATGCACATCCCCAACACACATACACACACACACACACACAAACATAGACAGACACACACAGACAGACACATACACAGACAGACACACAGACAGACAGACAGACACACACACAAGACAGAGACACACACAGACATACACACACACACACACACACACACACACACACCACACACACACACACAGACAGACACACCCACAGACAGACACACACAGACAGACAGATGCACAGACAGACAGACACACATACACAGACAGAGACACAGACAGACAGACACACACAGAGACACACAGATACACACACACACAGACACAAACACACACAGACAGACAGACACATACACAGACACACACACACACACAGACAGACACACACACATAGACACACAGACACAGACACACACACACACACAGACACACAGACAGACACATACACAGACACACACACACACACAGACACACAGACAGACACATACACAGACACACGCGCACACACACACACACACACCACACACACACACACACACACACACACACAGAGACAGACAGACACACACAAACACAGACAGACACACACACACAGAGACACACACAGACAGACAGACACACAGACACACACACACAGAGACACACACAGACAGACAGACACACAGACACACACACAAACACACACAGACAGACAGACAGACACATACACAGACACACGCACACACAGACAGACACAGACACACAGACACACAGACACACACACACAGAGACAGACAGACACACACAGACAGACAAACACACAGATGGACAGACACACACACACACACACACACACACACACACACACACACAACACACACACCA